CCCTTTGCTGTGCGATAGACCCCTCGTCCGTTCATGATAGATAACACTTCACATTAAGAACAAATTCGCGTGTAGATGGATGCTGATTGCATCGTGTCTCTCTGTCCATCCGTCCACCCGTCCACTTGCTCTCGTGTGGCATACCCGCAGCAAAGGTCCACGTCAGCCGCACCGCCATCCAAGAAATCGGGTACGACCGTCTCGTCATCTCCCCCCGCTGCCCCATCATCAGCACTATCCCCCGACTCCCCGCTCCCCTCCCCCCTTCGGCGGAAGCTGCTGCTTGCGTCCGCGCTGCTGCCGCTGGCGTCGCTGCAAGGAAGCGGTTGCGCGCAGGCAGGCGCGGGAGGTGGGGTGGGGGAAAGGCGGGGCTCCCTTAGGAGAAGATGAGGGGGAGGGGGAGGTATGGGGACGCGTGGGAAGATGAGAAGGAGGCGAGGTGGGGGGGACGGAGGGGGGGATAGGAGGGGCGTGGGAGGGCCTGAAGGAGAAAAGGCTGGCTATGCATATGTGCGATGTTCCCTTTTCTGTGCGCAACACATGAATGTCATGTTTTGTCTGTCTCTAATGCCATTTGCTTTCATTCCATCCGTGCTCTCCCCCGCAGGCATGGCTGCAGCAGCATCGGCGTCAGCAGTGACAGCAGCAGCAGATGGGGCATCGGTGGACGCAATAGAGAAGACGCTGCTGATTGTGGGCGCGGGCACGCTGGGGTCACTGGTGGCGCAGCAGTGGCAGCAGGTGAGAGAGAGAGAGAGAGAGAGAGAGAGAGAGAGAGAGAGAGAGAGAGAGAGAGAGAGAGAGAGAGAGAGAGAGAGAGAGAGAGAGAGAGAGAGAGAGAGAGAGAGAGAGAAGCCCTCCCCCAGGGAGAGAGAGACTCCCTCCCGCAGCAAGCCCCGTTTCAGCATCACCAGCAACAGCAGCGGCATCGGCGTCAGCAGTGGCAGCAGCAGTGGCAGCAGCAGCAGCGGAGGGGGCGCGGGTGGACGCGGTAGAGAAGACTCTGCTGATGGTGGGCGCTGGCACGTTGTAGCAATAGCTGAGCGGCGCGCCCAGCAGCCCACTTCAGCGTGCTATCACCCAGCAGTCTGCTGTGCTGCGTGCTGCCACTGCTTCACTGCTGTTTTCCACACTCGTTCTGCTTCCCCTCTTCCCTCCCTCCCCTCCCCCCATTCTCACACTCTTCTTTCACCAGCGCTACCCAGGCGCCAAGGTGTACGGGCAGACGCGGTCAGACACGCGCCACGAGCAGCTGAGGTCCATGGGGGTCTTACCTCACCACTCTGCACCTCTCTCCATCGCTCGCCTCTCCCTCCCCCCACCAGCGCTACCCAGGGGCCAAGGTGTACGGGCAGACGCGGTCAGACAAGCGCCACGAGCAGCTCAGGTCCATGGGGGTCTTCCCCATCCTGCGTGACGTCAGCGATGATGCCATTGCGGGCGGCGTGCCGTATGTCATCTTCTGCGCGCCACCGGGCGGCAGTCAGGACTACGAGGGCGATGTGAGGTGAGGTGCAGTCATCATAAAACTCTTCTTCGATTGCCTTTTCTCTTTCTCGTCTCCTCTTGCCTCTCCTCCCCTCTCCATTCCCCTCCTCGCCTCTCTTCTCTTCTCTCTTCTTTCTCGTTTCCGCATGCCTCTTATCCTGAAAAAGTGGCCCCCAGGACCAACCTTCTTTTTCTTCCCCCCTTTCCCCATTACTGAGGTGAGCTTTGATTTGCCTCAGAAGTCTCCTCATGCCTCCTCCCTCTCAATACCTTCTTCACGACCACCCCGCATCCCCTGTCCCCAATGGCAGGGCAGCAGCAGCAGCGCTGTGGAATGGCACCGGCGCATTCCTCTTCACGTCCAGCAGTGCCGTCTACGCCGTCTCTGACAACTCCTTCCCCAGTGGCTTTCCCCTCCCTCTCCCATTCCAGGGCAGCAGCAGCACTGTTGAACGGCGCAGGCGCCTTCTTGTTTACATACATCCAGCAGCGCAGTCTACGTCGTTTCTGACAACTCCTTCTGCCCCGCCTAATCACCCCGCACTCCCATGGCAGGGCAGCAGCAGCCCTATGGAATGGCACGGGCGCATTCCTCTTCACGTCCAGCAGCGCCGTCTACGCCGTCTCTGACAACTCCTTTTGCCCCGAGGGCGCTCCCACAGTGCCGCTCGGTGCCAGTCCCCGCGTCGACGTGCTGCTAAAAGCCGAAGGCGCCGCCCTGGAAGCGGGCGGCAACGTGGTGCGGCTGGCAGGGCTGTACACGCTAGAGAGGGGCGCGCACACGTACTGGCTGAGGCAGGGGACGGTGGACCAACGGCCAGACCACATCCTGAACCTCATCAGCTACGAGGTGTGTGGCAGTTGAGGCATGCAGGTATTTGGCAGTCGCATCATCCCTGATCATTGCTGCCTGTAATCATGCTAGAGAGGGGCGCACACACGTACTGGCTGCAACAGGGCACAGAGGACGAGCGGTTTGATCAGATCCACAACTTCGTCAGCTACAAGGTGCAGGGCAGCCGTGTCATGTGTGACCACCACAGCTTCTGTGCACATTAGAGAGAGTCTGTACTCGCTGGAGAGGGGTACGCTGCGCACACGTGCTGGCTGAGGCAGGGCACGGTGGACCAGCGACCAGATCACATCCCGAAACTCATCAGCTACGAGGTATGTGACAGCCATATCATTCCCCCCTCAGATACGGCTCAATGCCGCACCCCTGGCTCTTGCGCCCTGCCCCCTGCGCCCTGCCGCCTGCACCCTGCCCGCTGGCTCCTGCGCCCTGCGCCCTGCCTCCTGCCCCCTGCCAGTATACGCACCTTCCCCCTTACCCCCTTCGCCCTGCTTGAGTCCCTCTTCTCCACGCACCTGTGCATGTGCAGGACGCGGCATCATTGTGTGCGGCCATTCTAGCAGCGCGCCCACAAGGGCAGATCTTCATGGGTTGTGACAACCACCCGCTCTCCAGGTCAGTGCTTCTCACTCTGCCTCAGAACTTGCCCGCATGGGTGGATCGTCGTGAACTGTGGTGTTTCCACGTGCACTCTCTATTTTAGTGCACTCTCTATTTCAGTGCACTCTCCATTTCAGTGCCCCTCGCACCGCCCTCTTCCATGTCAGCTCAACCATGTGAAATCAACACCATGCACCACATGCACCCCATGCTCCAAAACCCCCCACCCCATGCGAGCAGGCAAGAGCTTATGGAGGTGACAGTAAGGGGCGGCGGGTTCGAGGGCGAGTTCAAAGGCTTCACTGGCACGGAGGGGCCGCTGGGCCATGTGCTGCCCTCCATGCCCCTTGCCGCTTGCACCTCTAACCATGTTATATACCATGCTCACCATGCACCTCATGCCCCCCATGCAGGCAAGAGCTAATGGATCTGACAGTGAAGAGCGGTCGGTTTGAGGGCGAGTTCAAGGGCTTCACTGGCACGGAGGGGCCGCTGGGCAAGCGCATGTGCAACGATGCCACTCGGGCTGCCTTGGGATGGGAGCCCACTCACAAGAGCTTTGCTCACTTCCTTGGCCTCGAGTCGTAGAGTCGAGACTCTGCTTAAAGCGCATAGGGAGGGACTTGTGACATTGTGTAGGGTTGTCTCAGCCAGCACATGTGCAGCGATGCTGTACAGGCTGCCCTGGGGTAGGAGCCCGCTGACAAGAGTTGTTGAGTTAAAGCACCTGTTTGGACACTCTTAGGAGTGTTCTTGGGGGTTGAGACGCTCAGCTATGGGTTGCTACATATGCAGGTCTAATGCACAAATGCATGCCATGCAAGCACTATAGCCAGCCAACAATGCAAACACGACACAACACAGGTGCAGAACGCTGCTCCTACTGCTACCGTATGATTAGAATGCCTGTGGTGTGACCCTGGAGTTGATGTGTTAGATCTACAATCCTGTAGTCAGTGTGCTAGATTGTACAAGCACTGCAATTTGTGTGCTCTATCCTGTAGTAGTGTGATCGACTCAGCAAGCCCTGTACTCAACGTGCTAGATTCAGCAAGCCCTGTAGTAAATGTGCTCAATTCTACAAGCGCTATTGTTAGTGTACTCGGTTACAAGCCATGTTGTCAGTGTGCTCGATTTTACAAGCACTGTTGTTAGTGTGCTCAATTTCACAAGCACTGTTGTCAGTATGCTTGAACTGGTACAAGCCCGTAGTTAGTGTGCTCAATTGTACAAGCCCTGCAATTTGTGTGTTGATTTAGCAAGCCCTGTAGTTAGCGCTCTCAATTCTGCAAGCCCTGTAGTTAGTGAGCTCGATTCTACAAGCCCTGTTGGTAGTGCGTCGTCATGCACGAAACCTGTACCTTGTGCCCCCAACGCACACCCCGTGGTTTGCATGTGCCAAGGCACAACCCTGTGTTTAGTGTGCACGAGTCCTGTGGTTAGTGTACACGAGTCCCGTGGCTGTGGTTAGTGTGCACGAGCCCTGTGGTTAGTGTGCACGAGCCCTGTGGTTAGTGTGCATGAGCCCTGTCAAGTCTTGTGGTAAGCCTACGCAGGGGGTTGCTGAGGTGGTGGGCCGCAAGGGGAGGAAGAGGGAGGGGAAACGCAGGGAGTGTGGGGTAAAGGACAGGGGGAGGGGGGTGTGGGGGGAACTCGACGCAGGGGGGTGGGGGGATGGGATGCGGGGGAGGGAGGAGATACCGTACCTGAGAGCGTTACTAGTCTAGATATCCTACCAGTATAACCTATTGAAACTGGTTCAGCTCTAACCCATGTGGTCTTCATAGTCCTGCCTTGGCTGCCACATGGAACTGCTTCGGTTGTCCTGCAAGCAACGAGAGGGGGCAAGGCGCACGAGATTTGAGATTCACGACATGATAAAATCAGATTTGATTTGAAAAGAGGTGCCTTGGAAACTGGAAAAAAAAAGGGACTTAAAGGCTGACAGGGGCCCTTGGGGCAGAGAAGAAAAGGGTTGAGTTAGCAGCCCTCCAATGAGAAGAGGATCATCTTGGCCTTGTCTCACTTGGCCGTGCCTGAAGTTCGTCCCATGCCACCAATGCTGTCCCTGCCTGAAGGATTGAATGTAGGGAGGGAGGAGGATATGAGTGCAATCATGAGAAAGGGGCCCTTGGGGAAGAGAAAAAAAGGGAGCTCCCTGACTGGAGCTCCCTGACTGGAGCTCCCTGACTGGAGCTCCCTGACGCAGCTGAGGGCGCGAGCTATGCAGCTGAGGGCGCGAGCTACGCAGCTGAGGGCGCGAGCGACGCAGCTGAGGGCGCGAGCGACGCAGCTGAGGGCGCGAGCGACGCAGCTGAGGGCGCGAGCAAAGCAGCTGAGGGCGCGAGCAACGCAGCTGAGGGCGCGAGCAACGCAGCTGAGGGCGCGAGCAACGCAGCTGAGGGCGCGAGCAACGCAGCAGAGGGCGCGAGCAACGCAGCAGAGGGCGCGAGCAACGCAGCTGAGGCCGCGAGCAACGCAGCTGAGGACGCGAGCAACGCAGTAGAGGGCGCGAGCAACGCAGCTGAGGGCGCGAGCAACGCAGCAGAGGGCGCGAGCAACGCAGCAGAGGGCGCGAGCAACGCAGCAGAGGCCGCGAGCAACGCAGCTGAGGACGCGAGCAACGCAGCAGAGGGCGCGAGCAACGCAGCAGAGGGCGCGAGCTACGCAGCTGAGGGCGCGAGCAACGCAGCTGAGGGCGCGAGAAACGCAGCTGAGGGCGCGAGAAACGCAGCTGAGGGCGCGAGCAACGCAGCAGAGGGTGCGAGCAACGCAGCAGAGGGCGCGAGCAACGCAGCAGAGGCGCGAGCAACGCAGCTGAGGGCGCGAGCAACGCAGCTGAGGGCGCGAGCAACGCAGCTGAGGGCGCGAGATGAAGGAATATTATGGAGAGCACTACGACGGCGAGAGAGATTCTGCTTATGGGAATGATGTTGCGCTAGGAATTCGGTAGCGTTTGGGTAGCGTTGGTCTCAAATGACTAAGTGAGAATTTGAGTAGAGATTGGACTTCACTAGGAAAATAGAATATATGAAACACACAAGCAAACACAAACATATAAAGGCAAGCAAGCGTTCACAAAAGGTAGCGAGGGCGCTGCGAGTAACCCAACCCACACGAAAGTGCTGTGGGAGTTGGCGAACGCGCCCCGCCAAACTTCCATCCAACTCAGCAGCGAAAACCTTCCGAGCACGCAACTCCATCCGACTCAGCTTGGGAGTGGCGTGCCTCATAAGGAAGCACACAAAGACTCCCACGACTCTACTTCCCAGCACCGACTTCAGCAGATTCCTTACTGCAGCTCGCATTCACCCGTAGTCACACTTGACTGCCATCGAACCTGTGCGACGGTGCCGAGTAGACCAGGTCGTCGGTCGTCAACCTGCCAAGTCTAACATTTCGCGAGGGCCCTTGCTGTCGTAGGGCCCTCTAACACGAGAAACGCAGCTGAGGGCGCGAGCAACGCAGCAGAGGGCGCGAGCAACGCAGCAGAGGGCGCGAGCAACGCAGCAGAGGGCGCGAGCAACGCAGCTGAGGGCGCGAGCAAAGCAGCTGAGGGCGCGAGCAACGCAGCTGAGGGCGCGAGCAACGCAGCAGAGGGCGCGAGCAACGCAGCAGAGGGCGCGAGCAACGCAGCAGAGGGCGCGAGCAACGCAGCTGAGGGCGCGAGCAAAGCAGCTGAGGGCGCGAGCAACGCAGCTGAGGGCGCGAGCAACGCAGCCGAGGGCGCGAGCAACGCAGCAGAGGGCGCGAGCAACGCAGCAGCTGAGGGCGCGAGCAACGCAGCTGCGGGCGCGAGCAACGCAGCAGAGGGCGCGAGCAACGCAGCAGAGGGCGCGAGCAACGCAGCTGAGCGCGCGAGCAACGCAGCAGAGGGCGCGAGCAACTCAGCTGAGGGCGCAAGCAACGCAGCTGCGGGCGCGAGCAACGCAGCTGCGGGCGCGAGCAACGCAGCTGAGAGCGCGAGCAACGCAGCTGAGAGCGCGAGCAAAGCAGCTGAGGGCGCAAGCAACGCAGCAGAGGGCGCAAGCAACGCAGCAGAGGGCGCGAGCAACGCAGCATAGGGCGCAAGCAACGCAGCTGCGGGCGCGAGCAACGCAGCTGCGGGCGCGAGCAACGCAGCTGAGAGCGCGAGCAACGCAGCTGAGAGCGCGAGCAACACAGCTGAGAGCGCGAGCAACACAGCTGAGGGCGCAAGCAACGCAGCAGAGGGCGCGAGCAACGCAGCTGAGGCCGCGAGCAACGCAGCTGGAGCTCCCTGACTGGAGCTCCCTGACTGGAGCTCCCTGTCTGGAGCTCCCTGACTGGAGCTCACTGACTGGAGCTCCCTGACTGGAGCTCCCTGACTGGAGCTCACTGACTGGAGCTCCCTGACTGGAGCTCACTGACTGGAGCTCCCTGACTGGAGCTCACTGTGCCACCACACTCATTTCTTCGCGCACTAATTTTCATCACATCCGAAGGAGAAAACATGAGAGGTAAAGCCATGTGAAAGCAAAGGAGAGGAAGAGGTGTAAAGTAAGGAAAGTAAAGGGGACATCGGAGAGAATAAAAAGAGAGAGAAGAGAGTTGAGTGAGCAGCCTTACCATAAAAAGATGATGATCTGGCTTGTCTGACTCGCCTGAAGCCCGTCCCATGCCACCACAGCCATTCCTGGCTGAAGGAAGAGACACAAGGAGGGAGAAGGATATGAGAGGAGAGCAGGTGACATGCAGGAAAGGAATGCGAGATTGGAAGAACCAGAGTGCATTTATGCGAATGGGGCAGGGAAGGCATTCGGAACGCACCACAGAAAGAGGGCTTTGTTGATTCGCCTTTGCTTGTTGCCACTTGATAGCGTTGCTGCTTCCTTGTCTCTGCTCCCTCTGCGGCATCCTCAGCTTCGGAATCTGGGACAGTGGCAGATCAACGACATAATGAGATGAAGAAGTGGCAAGAGAGACGAAGGCAAGTACAGGAGGCTAGGGAAGAAGTGAGTGGGAGGCAAGGGAAAATTTGGGTAGAGGGAAGCTAATGTCGAGATGGACGGACAGGTGAGAGTGAAGCGGAGTAGTAAATAACATTCAGGGACAAAGGGAATAAGAAGGGTAATGAAATGTTCGAGGGACTTACCGCATTACAATTCTTCTCCCTCATCTCTGCTCTCTTATCGCTCCTCCCTCTTGTATGCTCCCTCTGCGTCATCCTCGGCTTCGGAACAGCTGGGACAGTGGAAGATCAACGACTTATGATGAGATGAAGGAGTGGCAAGAGAGACCAAGGCAAGCACAGGCGGCTAGTGAAGAAGGCAAGTAAAGGAGGCTATGGAAACCAGGCGAAGATGAAAGGAGGATAGAATTCAAGGGCAAGAGAGATCTTACCACGACTGTTGAAGAAACCTCTTGTCCTCCTGCGCTTCCTCTTCTTCTTCTCTGCTTCATGTGCTTCCTCCTCTCCTCTGCATGGCCATCCTCTGCTCGTTTCCTCCTCTTCTTTTGCCACGACACTCCTACAACCTGCATACAAGGTGAAACAGCCTGCAGCCCACACCCTACAGCCCACAGCCTTTAGGCTACAGCCTTTAGCCTACAGCCTGTAGCCTACATCATGAACTATACCTAGAGATACAGCCAACAGCATACACCCTACCCACTTTACTAGACATAAAGATAGCCTACAGCCTACAGCCTAAAATAACAGAACAAGAGTTACAGCAAATTAAGCTTATCTTGTTAATCCCACACAGGCCACAAAGCTAACATTCCAGAATTGTTTGTTCGTTCCATTTCGCACAGTTTCATTGCATGCTTGTTCATTATCCCTTTCTGCATGCCCTGTAGTTAGGCGCTGCCCTGTAGTCAGAGTGGGGTTAGCGTACCTGTAGTTAGGCGCTGCCCTGTAGTCGGAGTGGGGTTAGCGTACCTGTAGTTAGGCGCTGCCCTGTAGTCAGAGTGGGGTTAGCGTACCTGTAGTTAGGCGCTTCCCTGTAGTCAGAGTGGGGTTGCCCTGTGGTTAGTGGGGGTGGGTCGTGGGCTAAAGAGATGGATGGTTGAGGTGGATGGGTGGGTCGGGGGTTGCCCGTCAGCCATAGCACCAGCAGCATCAACAGCAGCACCCGCCTCGTATCCTTCCACCCCAATCGAGTTCTCGCTGCTGGAATGAGATGGGTAGCGGGAGAGGGAAATGGGTGGAGGAGGGAGGGTGGGGAGCAGGTGGGGGGGTGAACGAGGCAGGGAGAGGAAGCGAGCGAACGCAGAGGGACAACAGGGGTATTGAAGCAAGAACGGATGAATGCATGAATGTGAAACGAGTGTGCAAACCAGAGGCTGGATGGGCCACAGCTGTGTCGAGTTTCGCTCTTCAAGTGTCAGTTGGAGTGCTGCTCTGCATGCGCCAGCTCCAACACTAAGTTGGTCATTTACGTCCTGGAGGCCCACGTACACGTAAAGTACGCGTAAGCGTACACGTACGCATACGTACACGTACTTACGTTTACTTACTCCGGGTAGGTACAAAATTTTCTCGATTTCACTTTTTTTTGCCATTGTTCGCGTGAGGTCCAGGTCCTAGTAGTGTTAGTAAAGACGTGATTTTAGACTACTCGTTTATGCTCATTACGAGTAAAATGGGGCAGCACAGAAAAAGTTTTTACCTCACCGTACATAAGGGCATAATTCGGGAGGTGCGTAACGTACGAAAACGTAACCGTACGTAACGTACACGTAAACGTAAAGAACCAACTAAGCTGCAACAGCAGTAGCACCAGCACCATCAACAAAAGTAGCACCAGCACCATCAACAGCAATAGCCATTCGCTCCATCGCTCCCTTCCACACCCACTGAGTTCGCGCTGCTGGGATGGGATGGGTAGGGGGAGGGGAGGAGTAGGTAGGTATGGAGGTGAAAGAGGCAGGGAGACAAAGTGAGCGAGCAAACGCAAGGCACAACGGGACAGCAGAAGTATCGAATCAATCACGATGAATGTGAGAAATGCGAAACGAGTGTGCAAACCAAACCAGTGGTTGGATGGGTTTTGCAAACAAACCAAACTAGTGTGCCACAGCTGTGTCGAGTTTTGCTCTTGGAGTGTTGCTCCTCACGTGATGCTCCTGAGTGTTCCATCCCGCTTGGCCTGGAACAAGGGAATGGGCTGGTGAGAATGAGAATAAAGGATACGGGATGCGGGAAACTGGTCGAGAATGGAATAAAGCCATGGAAAAGGATCACAAGCGACAAATGAAGCAAAGGCAGGGAAAACTGGAAGAATTGAAAAGTGAAAACAAGGTGGAAGGATACAGTGAAAACAGAGAGGCGATGGTAGCCCATGGCACTAGGTTGGCGAGCTAGCGGGCAAGGGGGACGAGGTAAGAAGGAGACGCGAGCATTCTACCCCCCTACGACTCTAGGACGAGCTCAAGCCGCCCCAGTGCCATGCGCTACCATCGCCACGCGCCAGAAACCTCCAATTCAACTTTTTGCCCCTCCCATGCGGAAATGAAGTTATGGTTACGAGCATGCGGTGAGAGAACAACGCGTTACGAAAATGAACCAAAGACAGAAAGCGGTCAGGATGGCAAGAGGGTGAGTCAGGGGATTAAGAGGTGACTTAGCAGCGGTACGACGGGTTGAGCGACGGAAGCAGCAGCAGTCGCTCCCAGCAGCAGCCCTCCCAGCAGCAGCAGCGCAAGTGGAGCTCGTTTGGCGTGTGAAGGAGTGGCGTGGTCAGCAGGGCATGCAGGACGCAGGCCGTGCGTCATCCCACTGCCCTCCCTCCTGGAACAAGGGCATGGGCTGGTGAGAATGAGAATAAAGGATACAGGATGCAGGAAACTGGTCGAGGATGGAATAAAGCCATGGAAAAGGATCACAAGCGACAAATGAAGCAAAGGCAGGGAAAACTGGAAGAATTGAAAAGTGAAAACAAGGTGGAAGGATGCAGTGTAAACAGAGAGGCGATGGTAGCCCATGGCACTAGGTTGGCGAGCTAGCGGGCAAGGGGGACGAGGTAAGAAGGAGACGCGAGCATTCTACCCCCCTACGACTCTAGGACGAGCTCAAGCCGCCCCAATGCCATGCGCTACCATCGCCACGCGCCAGAAACCCCCAATTCAACTTTTTGCCCCTCCCATGCGGAAATGAAGTTTTGGTTACGAGCATGCGGTGAGAGAACAACGCGTTACGGAAATGAACCAAAGACAGAAAGCGGTCAGGATGGCAAGAGGGTGAGTCAGGGGATTAAGAGGTGACTTAGCAGCGGTACGACGGGTTGAGCGACGGAAGCAGCAGCAGTCGCTCCCAGCAGCAGCCCTCCCAGCAGCAGCAGCAGCGCCAGTGGAGCTCGTTTGGCGCGTGAAGGAGTGGCGTGGTCAGCAGGGCATTCAGGACGCAGGCCGTGCGTCATCCCACTGCCCTCCCTCCTGGAACAAGGGCATGGGCTGGTGAGAATGAGAATAAAGGATACGGGATGCAGGAAACTGGTCGAGGATGGAATAAAGCCATGGAAAAGGATCACAAGCGACAAATGAAGCAAAGGCAGGGAAAACTGGAAGAATTGAAAAGTGAAAACAAGGTGGAAGGATGCAGTGAAAACAGAGAGGCGATGGTAGCCCATGGCACTAGGTTGGCGAGCTAGCGGGCAAGGGGGACGAGGTAAGAAGGAGACGCGAGCATTCTACCCCCCTACGACTCTAGGACGAGCTCAAGCCGCCCCAGTGCCATGCGCTACCATCGCCACGCGCCAGAAACCCCCAATTCAACTTTTTGCCCCTCCCATGCGGAAATGAAGTTTTGGTTACGAGCATGCGGTGAGAGAACTACGCGTTACAAAAATGAACCAAAGACAGAAAGCGGTCAGGATGGCAAGAGGGTGAGTCAGGGGATTAAGAGGTGACTTAGCAGCGGTACGACGGGTTGAGCGGCGGAAGCAGCGGCAGTCGCTCCCAGCAGCAGCCCTCCCAGCAGCAGCAGCGCCAGTAGAGCTCGTTTGGCGCGTGAAGGAGTGGCGTGGTCAGCAGGGCATGCAGGACGCAGGCCGTGCGTCATCCCACTGCCCTCCCTCCTGCAACAAGGGCATGGGCTGCTGAG